CAAATGAATTGCAATTTAGTTATACCATAATTTGCAAGAAAAGGTACTTATGGAGGTTAATGCTTCATTCACCACTTTTAAAGTTCTATAAATGTCCTCAGCAGTTATACAGAACTCAGCCATGTGAATCATTGAAACAACTGGAAATGTTAGACTCTTCTAACATACTCTTAAGACAAAGGTATATAAACAATTAAACATTGTTTTTACATAGCAGGAAGAGTAAAAAACTTACCGCAAACTACTACAAGGCAATGTGACGAACCTGAACATTGCCAGAAAAACTCGCAATGGGAGCAGGGTGAATACATAAAGGAAAGCATCCAGGCACAAAAAGATCCCAAAAATCATCAGCTACAGAGGAAAGAAAGAGAGAGAGATTCAAGGTTCAATCAAGTTTCATACTGAATTAATTACATGTAGAACAGATATGACTATAATCATAACCATCTTCATAAAACAGGACAATTTACATAAAATTATATATAAATACAAAATTCTATTTCAAAGCCTGGCAAAACCAGTAGATTTCCCACAATTTACTTAGAAGCAAGGAAGGGGCACCTCTCCAGGAGGAAGTTCCAATTTTACACCAGACAAGGGACAGGGACGTTCTCATTTAGCAAGGTACTATTTTTTTAGAGCCGCGATGGTGAAACTATGGCACATGGGCCACAGGTGGCCCACAGAGTCTCTGCGGGCACACAAGCTGTCGCCCTAGCTCAGATCCACGAATGCATGCATGCCTCCCAACGGCCAACTGGTTTTTGGGTCTCTGCCGCACACACACGAGGTCACACATGCATGTGCAGGGGCCAGAGGAATGTGGGGGAGAGTGTGGGATGCATGCGCGGGGACAGGGTGCACACAGGGGGTCATGTGCATGTGGGGATCACGCAGGCATGCAAGGAGCACACGTGCATATGCACATGCAGGGGGTGGGGTGCACACATGGGATGGGGTACATGCAGGAGTGTACGTACATGCACAGGGCACACACAAACATGCAGGGCACACATGGCACACACACAGTGGTTGCGTGCACATTGCACTTGGTGCCAAAAAGATTAGCCATCACTGCTTTAGTGTAAAAAAGAAGTTGGAACACATTTAGCAAAAACTCTCTTTGTAAGCCACTGGCACCTGATCTTTGCAGATATTTATGGTTTCAGTGACCCTAATCTTCACTCAGTAGATGAAGTGTTTAGATTAGATTAGATTAGATTAGATTAGATTAACAGAGTTGGAAGGGACCTTGTAGGTCATCTAGGCCAATCCTCCGCCCAACTAGAGACCATTTCTGACAAATAGCAGCCCAATCTCTTCTTGAAAGCCTCCAGTGATGAAGCTCCCTCAACTTCCAAAGGCAAGCTGTTCCATTGTTCTGTCAGAAAATTTCTCCTTATTTCTAGGTTAAACCTCCTTGTTCAGTTTCATAACTATTATTCCTTGTCTGGCCTTCAGGTGCCTTGGAAAACAGTGTGACCCCCTCATCTCTGTGGCAACCCCTCAAATATTGGAACACTGTTATCATATCTCCCCTGGTCCTTCCCTTCACTAGACTAATCATGCCTAGTTCCCGTAACCGGTCTTCATATGTTTTAGTCGCCAACTCCCTAATCAACCTGTTGTGGCCCACCAGCAGCCAGCAGAGCTGGCAGCAGAATCATACAATGAGGAGGTTGGGGAGGAACATGGGCCAGTTCTGGAGGCTGGGGAAGGCTCGGACAAGGGCTCTGTGTCAGAGGCAGAGACGAGGCCATCTGGCAGTGACCAGGTGCCTATGGAATTAGACAGCAGTGAGGCAGAGGAACAGCTAGAGCCTGCTCCCAGTGTGCACATGCGCAGAGTTGCCATCTGTGGTACTGGCTTACTTCTCGCCTCATAGGCCCGGGCTATACAAGCCCACAACCACCATCCAATGGTAGAGGGGGACACCCATGACCAAATGGCAGAAGACTGGAAAGAAACAAATAACACCTCCGTCTTCCTGGAGGGTGCCGTTCTCTTCATGTAAATACGGAGAGCTCTCCGCACATTCAGCTTGTGCCACGATTTTGTCCTTTCTATGAGTGGGGTTAGGGCAAAAATCTGGGAGAATTAACTTCTGAGTCCTATGAAAATAGGAACTTCTCTTGGGGATAAATGCGGATCAAACCTCAGCACAACTGTGATAGGCTGGAAAATACAAAGGTCCTCCCTGACAGAGAGAGCACCCAGCTCTGAGAACCTCCTAGCCGACGTGATGGCGACCAAGATGATCACCTTTAGAGCAAGGAACTGCAAGGAAACGGTCCGCAGTAGTTCAAAGGGAGAATCCCCTAGGGACAGGAGGACCATGGACAAATCCCAAGATGGAAACCTGTGAATTACCAGGGGCTGGAGGTTAGCTGCCCCTCGTAGAAACCTCTTCACCAACGGATGACAGCCCAGGCTCTCCCGACTATCCAAGACCAGGAGAGTTGACAGAGCCAAGACTTGTCTCCGAAGCGTGTTATGGGCCAATCCCCTCTCCAACCCGTCCTGGAGGAATTCCAGGATATTAGGGAGCGAGGGACGTTTGGGATCCACACCCGCCTTATGGCACCAAGTACAAAAAGTGGACCATGTGGCGTTGTAAATCCTGGTTGTGGCTGAGCGTCTGGAAGCCACGATTGTTTGTATCACCCGCGTGGAGAACCTTGCCTCTCTCAAGATCTCCCTCTCAAATACCAGGCAATCAACTGGAGCCATTGAGGCTCTGAATAGACCAGGACCCCCTGGCGAAAGGAGATCTTCTCTTGTGGGATCCTCCAGGGTTTGACAATGGACAGACCTAAGAGGTCCGCGAACCATGGTCAGTACGACCATTATTACTTCTGCCCCTTCCTTATCTTCCCCAACACCCCTGGGATCAGTGGAAGTGGGGGAAACGCATAAAGCAGACCCCGGGGCCACTTGATGCGTAAGGCATTGCTCCCCTCCGCTCGAGTCGGGGTCTGCGTGAAAAACCTGTGGAGCTGGGCGTTTTCCGGGGACATGAAGTGGTCCACCACTGGCCATCTGAAACTCCTGCAAATCTTCTTGAACAGTTCCGGGTCCAGCTGCCATTCTGTCTGGTCCACCATGGCCCTGCTGAGCCAGTCAGCTTGATGATTGGCATCTCCGGATATGTGCTCCGCCTTGATGGACAACAGATGCCTCTCCGCCCAGTGGCCCAGGCGCTGGGATTCCACCCAGAGGGCTCTAGAGTGAGTCCCTCCCTGCCTGTTTACATGTGCCTTCGTAGCCATGTTGTCTGTCAGAAGTAGGATGTGTATTTGCTCTACAAGGGCCTGAAAGTGTTGAAGGGCCAGATGAGCCGCACGGAACTCTAGCCAGTTTATGTTATGTGTAAGATCCAAAGGAGACCAGCGACCTTCAGCCAGCTGTGTCCCCAGCAATGCCCCCCAGCATAAAAGCTCATGTCCGTGGTAAGAGTGAGTCTTTCTGGCTCCCTGAACATATACCCTTTGGTATATGGGTGAGGAAACCCACCACCTAGGGAGAGTCTCACATGGGGAGGGGGTACTCGAACCTGAAAAGGAGAGGCGCTGCGCTTGCTCCTTTGGTACGGGAGCAAGAACCACTGGAGAGTTCTAGCATGGAGCCTCACCAAGGGAACAAGATCTATACAAGAAATCATCTTCCCTAACAACTGAGACAAGGGGACAATGGGCACACGCCGTTCTTTCAGCACCTGGTTGACTATGACCACTCCCAAATGCAACAGCCTGGTAGAAGGTCGCATGTCACTCTTCTGGAAGTTTACGGAGAACCTATACCTCAGCAGGGTCTCCACTGTCAGGCCAAGATCTTGAAGGGACCGCTCCGATGACTCCGCCTGGAGGAGGATATCATCTAAATCAGTGGTCCCCAACCCCCGGTCCGCGGACCGG